GGTGGAGTTCCTGCCACCACCCCAGTTTCGGCTGCTGAACGTCATCAGTTTATCTGAAAATAAGATTTAAAAGATCCTATCATCTTTGGTGATCTCACGCCAAAAAACATCCTTTGTTCTAACTGTGAAATTAATTTAAGCTGATCTTTAACCTGCTGACCTCTATAACTTTATTCCTATTCCTACTTCCAAAGAAACCCCTGTGCAGAGTCCTTCAGACACGTAAGTGAAGTTGGCCCCCCACCTTCGTCAAATCTAACAAAATTGGTGTCGAACATTTGTGCTACGTTTGTGCTGGTTTGTGCTGCACTAAAATAATAATAATATATCAATAATATGAAAAAAAATCTAATAACTATAACTGTCATGCTGGAACGAAGAAGAAAAACTACATACAAATTTACAAGAAAGTAACACGACATCACACCTTTCTGCATCTAATCAACATGACTCCCACACAATAGAGGCTAACGATGCAAACGAACCATGAGGAGGTAGGGAGGAGGTGTTTTGCAGGTGACAGTTTCTGCTTGTCAAGCAACAATAGAGCTCCGGACGTCACGTGACTCTTAGAGAGTAGACGCCATGTTGGAAGGCAACAAAGGTAAACAAAATGAACGGGATCGGCTAGGATTTTACTTCGTCTGAGTTTACTTCATACTTTAAAACCAAAGAAATCATTTTATATAGTAAAAAATTAAATAGATTAAACATGTCAGACCCTTACCATGCCCCTGGGATACTTTTTTTAAAACGCCAGAAGCTGTCGGAGCGGACCTGGCCATGGAACACCTTGGGATTTCCCCGGAGGAGCTGGCCCAAGTGGCTGGGGAGAGGGAAGTCTGGGCCTCTCTGCTTAGGCTGCAGCCCCTGCGACCCGACTCCAGATAAGCAGATGAAAAGGATGGATGGATGGATGGATGGATGGATGGACAAATAACATAGATTTACATGTAAGTTAACCTAGAGGGGGGCTGGAGAACACATGAGGGGGACGAAGGACGCAGACCATAATGGTAACCTAAGACACTGGTGGAGGATAAGGAATGGACGAAGACTCTGGTGGAGGATGAGGAAGGGACGAAGACTCTGGAGGATGCAGTGGGGACTCTGGAGGATTATGATGAGGAGGGGACTCTGGAGGATGATGATGAAGCGGGGACTCTAAAGATGGGGACTCAGGAGGCTGAAGAGGGGATGCTGGAAGATGATGATGATGAAGGGACGCTGGAGGACGAGGAGGATGAGATGGGGACTCAGGAGGCTGAAGAGGGGACGTTGGAGGATGAGGATGATGATGAAGGGATGCTGGAGGATGAGGAAGGGACTCTGCAGGTGGGGACACTGGAGACGAAGACTCTGCTGACGAGGACACTGAAGACACTGCAAGCATAGACTGCTAATTTATCTCAAATACTAATAACTACCGTATTTTCCAGACTATAAGTCACACTTTTTTTCATAGTCTGGCCGGTCCTGCGATTTATACTCTGGAGCGAAATTATGTAGGCTATACCGCGCTGCTGCGGGCTGGCTCTGGACCAGGAATGAGCTCCCCTGCCCCGCTGGGAATAAAAACCACACAGCCATCACCTGCTGGAGCCTGTAGCACACTGGATCCGGCCCAGGTTTCAGCTCCTCTGCCCCGCCATCACCTGCTGCAGCCTGTGGCGTGCTGCTGCGGGCTGGCTCCGACCCAGGAATGAGCTCCTCTGGCCCGCTGGGAGGGTTTCAAACACTGCCATCCTCTGCTGGAGACCGTGGCGTGCTGCTGCGCCCGCGTTGTTTATTCTGTTATTGTTACCGATACTTGTCTTGCAATGTGAAACGCTTGGTCTCAGATTTTGTAAGAAAAATAATAAAATTTCCCCCCAAAATGCAACTTATAGTCCAGTGCGACTAATATATGTTTTTTTCTTCTTTATTATACATTTTATGGCCGGTGTGACTTATACTCCGGAGCGACTTATAGTCTGGAAAATACGGTACATTAAAAATATTGAAAACTTGCTCAAAGGAAAATATATTTTCATTAAGGAAATAACTTATAAACTTACCGAATTAATACTTTTTTATTCACAGAAAGAAAGTTTTCATGAAAAAGCGCCGCAAACCTCCACACAAACTCCGTGTGAGCTTCAGGTCGCTGGTGTTCCACAGAGTTAGCTCTGGTTACAGCTAGGTAGCTATCTCCATTAGCTTAGCTCCCACCTCCGCGTTAGCTTTGGATTAGCTTCAGGTTAGCTTGTAGCTAGTTCGACCGGGTGTCGTCATTTGATTCCAGCCTTACAGCCCCACCCTCAGCTCCACCTCTCTTCCCTTTTGTGGAATTGTCTGGGCTTGACGGAACCTGTTACACGGTCAAAATGGCGGTGGTGGCCACCTCCCATTTCTCCTCAAAAACGTGTTATTGGAGGCTGTGGAAATCCATTGTCCATATATGTATATGTTGATGGGTTCTCCTCAGCTCCCAACCACTTACAGAGCACTCTAATAAGAAGAGGCGCTGCAGCACAGCAGTAATCACATTGTTATTGTTCCAGTAACTGAATTCAAAATAAGCACGTACAAGAAAGTAAATACTGTAAAATAACAGCAAAGCCTCTTGATTTCCACGTGTCACCTTTTAGTGCCAGTTGTGAGCCTTTTTAACCAGAAAAAAACATTTGAGAATCCCTGGAAAGACCCAAATGAGATAATAAGTAATTTGAAATGAATCAAAGAGATTTTTTAGAATGGAAAATCCCTTTATTGACTTTGTGAGAAAAAATTGGTTGTTGATTCATGTGCAAATTGATTTAAAGGGGCCATATAATGCAAAACTCACCTTTTGCATCCTTTTTTGCCACCATGTGGGTCTCTACTGCCCCTATAAACATTCCAAATGTGTAAAAAGTCAGCCATATGTTGTCTATTAGTGTTTGATTTCGGGAATCATTAGCCTAAAACAAGCCATTTCAAAAGGCCCCAGTTTATGATGTCACAAAGGGGAAAAGTAGAATAAAACGGCCTCTCTTGTGCAAAAGAAAGCCGCTGGTCCAGTAGCTCTACCCCGAGCTCCTCCCAGACATCTGAGCTTCTCAGCTTATAGTAGCCTGGGCAAAAGATGGGTGGGCGTGTCCAGCAGCAGCTTGTTTTCTTGGCAGAGGTCTGAAACGGCTCTTTCCGAAAGATACTGAAAATGTCAAGAATAAAACTGTTGAAATGTATTTATTTAAAAAGGAATCAGTGCAAAGAAAGAACTTCATGAACAAGTTTTGCACCAACTATGGAACTATGATACTTAAGAAAAACAGTCATAATATGGCCCCTTTTAAGATACACTTGTCTTCAAACAAATCACAGTTCTTATATAGATTCTATGTGCACAAAATGTGTGCCTGCCAAGTGCATTTTTCTTTTTCTTGCCTTGCATGGATAAAAAAACTGTATATTTGGTTCCCTGTGGTGGGAAAAACCAGGATAAGGATGTATTTAAGATAGATTATATCCTTTGGATAGACCTGCTGAAATTATTATCGCATATAAAATATGAAACATTTTAGCCACAGCAAAAAAGAATTGTTAGAGACATTACATGGAATCAGGATATCAGATTAGTCCTATAATCAGGTTTAGGTTTATGGTTTTTACAAAAGCTGTGGATAGGAGAAGCCTAAATGTAGCTAAAGTGTTTTCTGTAAGCCAGTGGACAGCAGCTACTGTTATCAGTGTGTTCACGCAGGTCTTGGGGAATCACAAGGTGTGAAATAGCAACATGGTGAATGCCTGCATGGGAATCGAGGCCCGTATAGAAAGTGTAGAATAGATTTACCGAGTTAACTTTTTCATTTTTTATGACTCACCTTTTATCTCACCTGTAAGACATGTTATTTTATATTTTTCAATGAAAAACGTTGTTTTCACATCAGTGTAAATAATGCAGAAGTTGCTGTTCTAGCACAGCCTGAGACGTTTACCACAAAATGACTGAAAACCTTTCTTCCCAGGTTTCCTCATGTTCTCATCTCTCATTTGACTTTACTTTGCAAGCAAATGTTGGAATTGCCTGGAGATTTCATGGAAAACTCAAGTTGAACTCCACAACATTGACTTATCATCAACTTTCCATGGTTCTCACTTGGAGCAGATATGGTTTTATGTGAGTCCCCGCAGATGCAGTATTTCGAAAGGGGGAAGAAAAAAGTTTTTCTTTCACACACGCTGAAGGGAAAGTGCGCACACAGAGTGTCAAACAGTCTACAAGGCAAAAGTACGATGAGAGTGCTGCAGATGTGGGTGAAAGCAAGCACAATATCATATTCATGTCCCTCACTGTGTGTTTTCACAGAACCCACACACTGGGAACAGGAACCGTGGTCTGACGGTCTGCAGGAAGCTCTGAGGTTCGATTCCACAAGTCCTTGCAGCCACTTGTAATTGGCTCCAGCATTCCTCCATATATTTCTCCTTATTTGTGTTTATGGAGAAAAGGAAATTAGTCTTGAACACATTGCTTTGGGTCTGTAAATTAATACATAACTGTATACCGCACACCCTGTTTTGGCTTTTCCACATTTGGTGAAATAAACAAGTAATCTGAATAGTTAAAATTCAACATTTTAACACCTTCCTGTATCATCCCCCCCCCCCCCCCCCCATGTATGTGTGCATTTGCATCTGCATTGGCTGAACATTTTATGCGCAAAACACAAACAATGTTTGCAGAAAATATAAGTTTTTCTCATGCATTTTGAAACATTGTTGTAGTAATTCCAGGAACAGTGTAGAAACTTTGACCACTTTTTGTTTCAGTGAATTAGATCAGGATTTCCCGATGAGGAAAACCTTCACAGTGCGTAATCACGCCCGTGCGCTTTCTGACCTGTTTCACTCAGAGTTATCGCAATGAATGAAGCTGCACTTTTTATTTGACGGGTCTGCCACCTGCCGGCGCGTCACAGCTCCTCTGACCAATCCTGACGCAGCGACTCTCCGTGCGCCCATGGAGATTCCGCGGTGCTCCTCACATCCCCGCCCAATTCGCGGCTCAGTAACCATCGACGGTTCCAGACCTTGTTAGTAGAGCCCCGTTAGCTCTTCAGATGTGACCAGATCGGACTGCTGCACAGCCGTGGAGCCAAACATGGACCCGTGAGAAGTTTGACAGGATTTTCTCCATCTGCTCAATGTGACCGCGCGCATCAGTGACTGACATGAGGTGAGTGGAGACGAGATAAATCCTGAAAGTTTTCCTCTTTAGAGTTTTCTGATTTATCTCAGAATCGAGATGAAGCTACCCAAATGCATCGTTTTGGACCTCTTTTTAAAAGTTGCAGAAAAATCGAATCCCACGTGTCTCCAAAGCGAACGCGCTCCGTGCACGCTCGCCTTTGTCTTGTTTTAATTCTTTTATCTAATTGCAAGTTTGTCAAACAAGTTACGGCTGCCTGGCTTTGCATCCCTGCGCTGCGCTCAGCACCACCGTCTGCCTCTTCTCCGCCAGCACGGGGCAGCTTCCCAAGCAGATTATCTGATGAAGTTGACTTGAAATGCTAAAGTATATGTTTCTATTAAGACAATTCAAAGATATAATTAATCAAATTAAAGTGCTAAAACCTGCCACTGAAACTTGTGAAACCATCTAAATATTGGGTGATAATTGAGCTGCGTAACTGGGGGGCAGAGAAGGGCATTAATCATGTCCTTACATGGGAGGTGGAACTGTTTCATGAATTAAATGCTTATTTATGAAGGCCGTAGAAGGAAATGTGAAGGAATGTTCTCTCTCTGTGGCCGGGGGGTACTTTGACATTGTGCTGCATAATAACTGAGAGCAGAGGGAATGCCATTTGTGCCATGGCACAAATATTTTCCTTTTGAGCTGCAGCTATTCATCATCTCAGAAGCCTGAGTCTGACATTTCAGTTTCTGTACCTAAAACACAAAGCATTGGCCAAGATGGACCTCGGTGGTTTTTAATATGTTGCCTATCAACACAACAGCATATTTTAGTACCAGCGTCTCAACAGATGTTTCATTGGACAGTGTTGAAATCAGGATGGATTTGTTAAGCAAAGTGTTGAGATGATTAGGACTTTTCTCCTGTGTGAATAAATGCTTTAAAAAGAGAGATGGAGAAAGAAGAATGGTGAGCAGCAACCGAGCCTTCTTAGATGATGTATCATTTGAGCACAAGTCAATAATACTTTTTCAGGTTTTCATCTTTTGATAGATAGTTTTGTTGTGGATGTATTGATCATGCTTATGGCTTTCCCAAATGAGCTGTATGTGGAGGATTGGATGCTGATGTTAGAGGACTGGACTGACCCATATGATGGCTCCAAGCAGGAGGAAAATGTCTGTGCCTTACCTTCTGCTGTACATGCTGTTCTGTGTGGGTGCCGCACAGTCGCTTACAGCTTCATCGAAACGTAGACTTTAAAATTGCTTATGTCTAGTTTTGTGCAACAGATGTCTTACGGAAAGCCTAGACGAATCTTTCATGAACTGAAATAGCTGCACTTTTATTACTGCTAATGGGGAATAATGTAAGAACCAGACAAATGCATTGGTCTAACCATGCAATCATCAGGCTGTATGCGTGCTGGCACCAATGGGCCACTCTCAGAGGGCAATAAGAGACAGTGATGGCTATTTCACTGGAGTCAGCTGGCCAAACAGACATGCTAACTCCCCTATTGGGTTTCATTAGAGCTCTCCTTGATGTTAAAGCCTGTTTAATCCACTTACACAGCCGTGCAGAACACAACGCGACGAAGCTCGGCATCTATCTTTAGACGGCGCATGGGCTAGGACTCAGCTCAATTATTAAAACAAGAGAAGAAAACTCCCTGTAGCTGGCTTTTAAATGTCTCGGCTGAAGAGGCTCTCCATACAAAACTTTGTGCCGCTGGTCATCACTGGCTGAGCCGAAGAATTAAAAAAGCTGTTTTCAGCTACCGATAGATGGCTGTCAATCACCGTCTGCTCAATTAACTTGTCTATAAACAGCTGTGTTTATGCAGCTCTGCACTCCCTCTCCCGTCTCCTGTTGTTCCTCCTGGAAGCAGACGTGCTGCCGGAGGGTGTGATTACACTAAAGCCTTATGAGGTGAGCGCTCTGCCTCTATGTCTTTGTCTCCATGTTCTGGGCAGCTACTGTTGTTGTCCCACATTCATGGCGCCTGTTTTGCTTCAGAGGCTCAGTGCTGGGAAAGGCACAGGCAGATATTAGTTTTCAACTGAACGGCTATATGATTTAATGGCTGTTGAAGACCAGGTTCACTGAGAATTTATCTTTTACTTTACAATTTTGAAGATGATCAGCCACTCTGAGTTTAACATACAAGCTGAATGTGAAAATAGTCTTCTACCCCTATTTCCTGCATTAGCCTCTGATAGAAAATAGACAGAAACACGTTTCTTTGAGAAAATCCTGACAGATCTACGTCACGCTGTCAGCTAACATTCATGATGGACTCATCCATCTTGGCTCACGACGGGAAATGCTGTTGTTGGTTTAGTGTCCAGGAATCAGCAAAGAATGCCTCGACTAGCTGAATCTAACCATTAGCATCTAGAAAGAAAGAAAACCATATTTTCTATAGCACCTCTCAAGATAAAAATCAAAAGGCGCTTCACACATTTTTTTAAATATAACAAATATTTTAGAAAATGATTAAAAAGATGTTTAAAATAACTAAAATAGACAACTGTGATTAAAAAATGCAAAGAGAGAGAGAATAGGAAAGAGGGAAATCAGTGGATCCTGGAAGGCAGAATAGGTTGGGAGAGCAGAATAAGGAGAGTGTGGTGACGAAGGTCCACCTTGAACAAGTGAGTCTTCAGCTGCTTTTTAAAGAAGACCACTGAGTCCACTGATCTCAGGCTCAGGGGGAGAGAGTTCCAGAGTCTGGGGGCCACAGCAGCAAATGATCTGTCACCTTTGGTCTTTAGCCTGGTGCTGCACAACCAGTTGGCTCTGGTCACTGGACTTCAGGGACCTGCTGGGGGTGTAGGGACTACGAAGATCACCAATGTATGATGGTGCTTGTCCATGTAAGGCCCTATAGACCAGAACCAGGATCTTGAAATGAACCCTGAAGTTGACTGGCAGCCAGTGAAGCTGGAGGAGAAGCGGGGTGATGTGGGTGTGTTTGGAGGACTTGGTCAGAAGCCGAGCACAGGCATTCTGAACCACCTGTAGACGGTTCAGGGAGGTTCTGCTCAGACACGTGAAAACAGAGTTACAGTAGTCTAAGCGTGAGGAGATGAAGGTGTGGACAACTGTCTCAAATTCAGAGTGGGACAGAATGGGACTCAGCATAGCAATGTTCCTGAGATGGAAGAAGGAAGAGCGAACAAGAGAACTGACATGAGAATCCAGGGTGAGAGCTGGGTCAAAGGTCACGCCAAGATTCCTGACAGAGGGTTTGGTGTGAGAAGCAAGCTGACCAAGAGAGTCTCTGACTTTGGGAACCAGCTTGTTTAGGGCACAGATGAGGATCTCAGTCTTCTCCTCATTCAGCTGTAGAACGTTCCCAGCCATCCAGGGTTTACCACATGGCACAAGTTCCTCCAGGTTTGTGTTATTTGTGGAGATGAAACAAGCAAGTTGCAAGTCAGTGGTAGAGTTGCATTGCTGTTCTACATCCTCAAACAGGTGCACCCGAGCTTTTTTCCCCCAGATAATGACTTTGAAGGCATTCATTCCTACTAGAGACCACTGCAAATGTATTAAAAATATGAGTAAATTAGACTTTTAATGTTTAAAAACACTTAGATTTAAATTTTATTTTTGGCATCTGATGCAAAAAAACAACAACAACATGCTACATGCTTAGGTATTTTTTGTGTTTTCATTGTTTTATTACTTGCAGAAATGGTGCCTTGTGGATGCAATTTGAGCTTTTATAGGTAATATAACATGTCTTAAAATGACATTTATCACTCTCTGACCTTTACTAGTTGTCATAACTTCAGCTGGGATAGGCTCTTATTGGTAGCAATAAGGTGTTCACTTTAGGGCTGTTAATAACTGCTAGTCTGTGTTGACTTTAGGATATTGTGAATGTTAAGCAAACAACAGTCCACACACAAATTAAGAGTCTGACTGAGTTATGGCCTGAGAGCCGTGTATTGGGCAGGAAATGAAGAAGTGGAGCGGACATAAACAGATCTTAACGTGCAGTAAATCTTCTAGGTGGCTACATGTCGGAGTCAGTCCACTTGAACCATAAATGTTGATCAAACAACCTGCATTACTGCTGCAGATACTGGTATTTGTGGACAAACTGATGAAGGTCCTTCAAAAAAAAAATCTTAGCTCTGTTTCCTGTTTCATTTAAGCTGAGCCCCGTGCTTATCTTTTCTACAAGTTTTTTCTGTATTTGCAAATGGATATTTTGTAGTGGTCACCATTAAATGCACAGACTTATCTCAAATTATTAAAAAAATATGTCCTTTATCACTTAAAATCACATTGTTCCATGTATCATATTGCACCACAATTTGTGGTGATTTTTAAAAAATCAGTATGAGTAATGATGGCAGAAGGAAGGCAACACATGGGGTGTATTGCCTATTGCTCATCAAACAGCACCCATTTGTATTTGTATTTATTTATTTGATAGGGACAAGCATGTGTCATGGTCTGAGGCATTTCCCCTCACTAATCTCTGCCAAGGCATCACTCCTGCAGGTAGGTGGTTCCGGGGAGCAGCTCAGGTGCAGCCACTCTGTTGCAATCACTGGCTGGCTATAAGAGGAGCAGTCTGAGACCTACACAGCGTCTGATGATTTACTCTGTTTGGGTATTCAGCCAAGTCTCAAGCGTTAGTAAATGACTTCTTCTGTGTTTCGTTTTTGTCCCGCGCCTCTTTTGACTGCTATTCTTGTGCTGCAGATATTACTCCACATCATCTCTCCAGTCATATTTGGGTTATGTAAAAAGAAATTATTACATAACAACAACGTTAATACAAAACATATACATCAACTATAAAAACAGTGCATAGCAAAATAAATAAATAAATAAATAAAACATTCTTAATTGACCTGGTCTGCTTTTATGGAGCCTGCTCCTCTGAGTGGCATTACTAATTTGCCCAAGTCATAAAAACCTGTACTCCTTCAGTATTTCACAATGCTGTACTGTCACCAATTTTCTATCTTTCATAGGTCATTCCTATTGGTTTAAGCGTAGTGGTAGATGCCTGC